CGGCCTAGTCGCGCGCGTCCGGCCGGACTTCCGGACTCCGTCCCGCCCCGCCGGCCCCTCGCCGCGGTCCGAGGCGCTTCTCCGGACAAAGGGAGGAAGGCGAGCCTCGCTGCCACCCTCCCCCTCCGCCGTCCCCGCCCCTGCACGTCCGGCGGGGCGAGCCCTGCCAACCCCGTGCCGAGTAGAGCACCCGGCGGCCGCCCCAAGGGTCACCGCCCTCAGCGAGTCACCGAAGTTTGGGCTCCCACCCCGCGTGGGCACGAGCTCATCCTTCATCTCCTTCCTCTCGGCCCCCCGGCCCCACGGAGCTGCCTGTCAGCCTCCCTCATACCTAGAGGGGCCAGTCTCCACTCGTGGCTCAGTGCCCGGCCCGGTCACAGCGCGGGGCGGCGAAGATACGTGGAAACCCAGGGCCCTGTCACCCACTCGCGGCTGAAGGTGGGGGAAGGGCGGCCGCCGGTGCGCTCACAGCTTCGCACATGCGCAGATGCAGCGGCTGCTAGCCATCCCAGGGTCCTCCGAGGACCGGTCCAGCGATCTCCGAGACTACATTTCCCATAAACCCGCGGGGCCATGATCTAGGGACTCTCAGGAAAGTCTTCGCCTGGCTTAGCCCGCTGGGCCGAGCGCTGGCCACGATAACCCCTTGGCTTGGACTTTCATTTCCACCAGGTCAGGTTATGAGTTACAATCACTATCTCCCCCCAGTACAAAAACCTGCCTTTTAAAGGTTACACAGGTAATCTACGATATCTGTATTTGAAATAGAATCTATGTATAAAATAAAATAAAAACAAATACCAATAATCTCACTTTTCAAAGTTAACTGTGTTAAGTTCACACCTTTAAAATAGCATTGGCCATAAAGCTATTATGTGCTGCAACTAGCTTTTTTACTTTGTTTAGAGCAGTTTGAGGTTCACAGTAAAATTTGAGGAGAAAAAGTACAGAAAGTTCCCAGGTATCACCTTTCCCCACACATGTAGAGCCTCCTCCACTATTAGCATCCCCTACTAGAGTGGAACATTTGTCACAACCCAATGTCATCACCAAAAGTCACAACACATCACCAAAAGTCAATAGTCTACATGAGGGTCCACTCTTGGGGTCATATATTCTATGGGTTTTGATAAATATGAAATGACATGTATCCACCATGATAGTATCAGAATAGTTTCACTGCCCTAAAAATCCCCTGTGCTCCATCTATTCATTTCTCCCTCTTTCTCCCTGAGCCCTTGACTAATCTGTTTTCTTCACAGTTTTTGCCTTTTCCAGAACGTTAGATGGAATCATACAGTATGTAGTCTTTTCAGATTGGTTTCTTTGCTTAGTATATGCATTTAAGGCTTGATAGCTCATTTCTTCTAGATATACTACAATTAATCCATTCACCTATTGGACATCTTGGTTACTATCAAGTTTTGACAATTATGAATAAAGCTGCTATAAACATACACAGGGTCTTCTGTGGACATAAAATAAGTTATTCATTTGGATAAATATCAAGGATGAGAATTGTTAGGTCATACAATAAGAACAATCTAACAGTTTTGTAAAAAAACAAAAAACAAAAAAAACCCCACAAACCTGCCAAACTATCTTCCAAAGTGTATGTACCATTTTGCCTTGCCACCAGCAAAGAATGAGTGTTCCTGTTGCTCCACATCCTTGCCAGCATTTGGTGTTGTCAATGTTGTGGATTTTGACCCTTCTAATAGGTGTGTTGTGGTAGCAACTTGCTTTTAATTTAAACACTATAGTCTCAAAAATGTACTTGTACTCTTCTCTGCAGTGCTCTGGGCCTGGGAGACTGGCCTCACTGCCCAGTGGGGACAACATGTAAGGAATTTGCGTAAGACAGCTGTGCAAAATTGAACTAGAGGGGCCTTATTTGTGCACAGATACTCCTGAGAATAACTCAGATACTCCATTTGACGTCACACCAGAAAACTATAAGAGGATAGATGCAATTTTTAAAAACTATCCCAAAGGGCATAAAACAGCAGATGTAATTCTAGTTCTGGATTTGTCCCAAAGACAGAATGGATGGCTGCCCATCTCTTCTATGAACAAGGTTACAGAAGTTTTACAAGTACCTTCAATGAGAGTATATGAAGTAGCAACTTTTTATACAATGTAACATCGAAAGCCAGTTGGAAAGTATCACCTTCAAGTCTGCACCACTACACCTTGCATGCTTGGAAACTCTGACAGCATACTGGAGGCCTTTCAGAAAAATTTTGGCCCTGGCCAGTGTGGCTGAGTTGCTTTGGAGCACAGTCCTGTACACTGCAAGGTCACAGGTTCAATTCCCTGCAAGTGTCTTGGAAAACCCAGAGGTCTTCAAATCACACTTAAAGCACAATCACTATACATCATTATCACACCTAAAAAATTAACAATGTGTACTTAATAGTATTCAAATAGCCATTTGGTGTTCATAGTTCCAAATTCTTTTCATAGACATTATAAATTTCTTCAAATTTTTAAAGTTAAAATAAATAAATAGCTGGGCTCTTCAAATTTTTAAAACTTAAGATCCAAAGGAGTCCACATCCTGTGATTGATGTTTTTTAATACATAGGGCCAACCTTCCATTTGTTTTCTTTTTTCTTTGCCATTCATATGCTGAAAACACTGGGTTGTTTATTCCGAAGAATTTCCAGGCAATCCGGATTTTTCCTGATGACCTTAAATTTTAATTATCAATTTGTGTTCTTTCATCTGGACTCTGAACTTGAGAAGGTCGATGTTTAAGAAATTTTGGCCGAAACCGGTTTGGCTCAGTGGATAGAGCGTCGGCCTGCGGACTGAAGGGTCCCGGGTTCGATTCCGGTCAAGGGCATGTACCTGGGTTGCGGGCACATCTTCAGTGGGAGGTGTGCAGGAGGCAGCTGATCGATGTTTCTCTCTCATCGATGTTTCTAGCTCTCTATCTCTCTCCCTTCCTCTCTGTAAAAAATCAATAAAATATATTAAAAAAAAAAAAAGAAAGAAATTTTGGCCAAATTTTAGCAGTGATTCCTCACTCTTTGCCAGGTCTTACAATGATACTTTTTTTTAAAAGTTATTGAGTGATGGCTTCAGGTTTCTCCTCCAGGTGTGTGTTTGTTGTTGTTTTTTAAAATATATATTTTATTTATTTCAGAAAGGAAGGGAGAGGGAGAGATGGAAACATCAATGATGTGAATCATTGATCAGCTTCCTCCTACACACCCCACACTGGGGATGGGGCTCACAACCCTGGCATGTGCCCTTCACCGGAATCGAACCTGGGACCCTTCAGTCCGAAGGCCCAGCCTGGGACCCTTCAGTCTGCAGGCTGATGCTCTATCCACTGAGCAAACTGGCTAAGGCTCCCCCAGTGTTGTTAGTTACTACTCTATTTAAAAATATATATATTTTATTGAATTTTTACAGAGAGAAAGGGAGAGAGATAGAGAGTTAGAAACATTGATCAGCTGCATCCTGCACACCCCCAACTAGGGAT